TTTCACTTCTGCCAAGCTCATCAGCAGGCTTCCAGGAGGATTGGGATCTACCTGAAGGACCTGGCAGCCGTTGATTTCCCCTGCGTCTGTTTCCTTATGTATAATACCAGTTTTGCCAACAGCTCTGTCGCTATCCCCCTATTCGACTGTAGCTTTGGTGCCTCGGCCTTCCTCCTCATCACGTGTGCTAGCATGGTGTTCCTGGTGTGCATCCTTGCTTACAGGTAGGCAGCAGTGTCACACTGTGTAAGTGTAAATGGTTTGTACTGGTCTGGGATTTTCCCTTCATATAAATAAAAAATACAAATTAATTAACAAATAAAATCCACATGATGAAAATGATAAAATAAACACACTTGATCAAATTCCATGTTATTATTAAGGTTTCTCAAGATTGTCAGCCTTTTTGGAATTCACATCCTGCAGACAGGATTTCTTTCCTGCTCCAAAGAGGCAAACCTGGCAACCTTTGATCTTCAACGTCATGATCTGAAGTCAGCTCACCTAATTCTGCAAAATCTTAACTTCCAGCATATCCCAGTCTCCCTGATCTGCTCCCCGAAGCAGTGACTGGTCACACAGAAACACCTGGTGCTTTATATACAGAATATCTACAGAACATCTGTCTCATCTACTTCACTGTCTGCAAGGTTTTCAGGACCCAGTTCAACCTGAGAATAATTTGTACAAATATATCTTCCAATCATACAATTCAAAATATATAAATCATCCATTCGTTTTCTTCTGCTCGTCTAATTCAAGTTTGCAGTGGGGCTGGAGCCTATTCCAGCTGTCATAGGGAGAAAGGCTAGTTACACCATGGTTTTAACAGCTGTTCAGTCTAATGCAAGGCTAACACACAGAGAGAAAGACAATCATTCACTCTCACATTCATACCAGTTAGCTAAAAATGCATGTCTGTGGTAATATGGTAAAGAAATGTAATTTTTAAATGTATTATCAAACTTATCAACGTCATACCATAAACATTTATACATTATTCTTTCATTTACAATATTATGGTTTCAAATACAGATAATGTAGTAATGCTAATAAATATCTATTTATTTATAATAGTAAAGTAAAACAAATTAACTGCTTATAAAACAAAACAGTTTAACATTACATTAACAAACATTTCTAAAATATTTGCAAGAAACAGGATGTTAAAATTTCATGTAATATATTTCATGTAATGTACAGAAATAAATGTGAATATTAGTATTGCTCACATAGTCTTGTTATAGTGACAAAATGTAAATGTAGTAACCATCCTTAAAGACATCCATGCATCCAATGGATGGTGGATCTAATAACTGATTATATGTAAAAAATGTTGGGCATGTAATGTACCAGTGAGTCATGTTGTCACGTTTACTGACTGATTTTACAGTCGTTTCCCTGGCAACATTCCTAATTTTCTGACCAAAATCGACTGCAGTGGAACTGAAACTGTTACATCACTCGTAGGATGTACAGCAGCAGGTGTGGTGAATACAGGGATCGATATCGTCTTATACTGTACAAATGCCAGTGCTTTCTGGATGTGGCTCCTTTTTTATTTGATTTCCTGCACAGTTCAAACACTGGAGTTGTGATCCAGCTTTGTCTGTTTTGTGGTGCTTGGCTTACTAGACAGCTAGCTGCTCTCTCTTTTTTCCTTCCGATCTGCCTACCAGAGGAAGTCGGGTCAGCGGTGGCTTGACATTAACGACACAGTTATTGATGGCTAATCTCAAACACAGAGACGCAATCAAACCCAGGGCCTTGTGAATGATGTTCCAAGAAAAGGTCAATAAAAAAGTGGATTCTTTCTGCTGTTCTCTCATGTCTCTCTGTCTTTCTTTCATTTTATCTCAGTCTTGCTGCGGGGCTTCTGGTGGTGTATTGGCTCAGAGAAAAGGGGTGGGGATGAGGGGTCGGTAGAGAGGCTGCTATTTTCCTGCCAGGTTTTGTTCGTTTCGACAAATAATCCATGTTAATAAATGGCCTTTGAGGATGTCAAATGCAGCTGGAGGAAAAGGGGAGATAGAAAGGAAGGAAGAAAAGGAGTGTTTGTGTTAAATTAAGAGTGTTCACATATTGTCCAAAATGTTGTACCCAGCTAGGAATATTGGTTGAAAGTGCACCTAAAAGAGCCTTTAAGTTTGAGCTCCACAAGATTTTGAGGGATTCCCATTACCTGGTTGCTCTTTGAGTAACTGTTGTAGTTTATACAGAGGCATGTTTCATATGGAGCACATACAGTATTTCCTTGTTGCTGTTTAGTAAGCAACTTAAGTAAGCTACTGTGAGCAAACAAGTTCTTTATTTCCATTCTTAGTTGATAACGCAACACTTTTCCAAGTTTAACACAGTGAGATCCGAGTCATCACCTCTGATGACCCCAACCTGTACTTTCAGAATACATACAGTGCTTAAAAGAGATTTATCGCACCACCACCTAAAGTAAGGTTTAAGCCAGCATTGGTAATTCAGTTTAATTTATGTTTATATA